GCATTTAAATGTATCCAGCATGGTTACTTGTCATTTTGCAGATACTTTATTTAAAGTAGCACTGTAATTGGAGGGACAGTCTGCCTGGAGCAGAGACAATTAAACAAGCTGGTGTTAAGAGCCTTAGTCAGGGCAGAGCGAGGTTAAGTGTCTCACTCAGGAGCACAACAGTGGTAGAGCAAGAGTGCTGTCACAGAACCTCTCCAGTGGGACACTCCTTCCTGGAACTAAACCAGCGACCTTTGTGTTAGCAACCTGGATCTTTGTAGTGTTAGATTGCATCTTCTTTCCCACCTACTATTGAATTATAAGTTTATAACTTATAACTTATAAGTTTATTTGTTTGATGTCTGGAGCTAATTTAGATGATGAACCAATTAAGTAGTTTTGGTTTTAACATTGACTGTACACAAACTGTACAAATGTACATGTAAATATATACACAGAAATCCCTAATTATTTCATTTTTATGGATGTTTTCCATATGTAGGTTATAACTGTATCTAACAGTTGAAAAGCTGAAATTTTATTTGTTTATTTTATTTCCATTTCGACCAGTTTCCTTGTTTATGTGTTACAAATTTGTTTGTTACAGAAAATCAAAGTAACCAAATAATTTTTTTTTTGTTTACAGTATTTTCAGCATAAATTGCCATTTGGAATCTATTTCACCTTCTTAATGTGACACATTTCTGAGTGAAACATTCATTGAGTGAAAAATATTTGAATGAGGCTTGAATATTTGGGAATTGGAAATTGACTGGATTGTGAAAAGTGAGTGTTACATAACAGAATGGAGTCAAAACTAAATATGCATAAAAATAAATATGGCCAATTTGGATTTCATGTTGATATTTTAAGTATTTGTCCACTACCTTTAGATGTCCAAATATTACACTGGAGTTTATTTTAGAATTCCCATTCTCTTTCTTCTTTATCTTTACTCTTTATTTAAAGGCAGTTTGATTTCATAAAATGACTTTAAATGTGAAACATCTGTACTGCAGCTGTAAAAAAACAAACAAACATGTTTTTTTAAAAAGAAACAGCTGTTGTGTGTTATGAAAACGTGACACACTACACTTTTATTGTTTTCAGTACTTGCATTACGTTCAGTCATCGCCACTACAAATATTCCTACACTCTATTCTGCAGTATATTATCTAGAAACTTGTCTCTACTGTCCAAATCCAAATCTGCGCCCAAGTTATGACCGTCAAGCCATCAATAATAAGTCAGCCAGTGTGAAAAAAGTTCCTTTCTAATGAATCTAATCTAAAGAAACTGTCACTGCTGGCAAGAAGATTTCACTGCCTCTGCAATTTTGCCTCTACGTAGTTTTCAAGCTTGTTAAATTAAGAGCACAACAATCTATCAGCAGTTTCCTATCAACCCTATCTGCATGAATGATTTGTTTGGAGCGTATTCATCTGTTATTTAAGCAAAAACAAATCCATTTCTGTATGAAACTTAACTGCTTTGCATCAGCAAACAGCTGTTTTAATTTGTTCATTGTATAAAGCTGCTGCTGGGCAGACTTGGATCCCGTTGTAGCACGGTAATGTTTTTTATTTTATTTTTTATTTATTTGTATAATCTACCATTAAGATAAATTACCATTAAGACTCTCTGCTTCAGGTTCATTTAGTTTAGCATCAGTGCAGGTGCCAGACAGCCATCAATCCCAATGTCACTGCAGAGATTGGCTGATTGATCGAAGAGAGTCAGAGCGCAGAAGGTGAGAGAGGTTAAAGCACAATAGAGGGAAGCAGAGGATAACATATTAAAACAATGCTGTGAAATGGAAAGGGCCAGGCAGAGAGAGACAGGTGGTGAGTGGGAGGTGGTGACGAAAGAGAAAATATAACATGAACAGAAAAGCTTTTAGGAGACAGGAGGAATATTTGTTAAGGAATGAATGGTTGTGTGAATAATCAGGAGGGAGAGGGAACGAGGGACTTTAGGGATCCTGTGAGGATACGCAGGATTCGGTTATACTTCAGTAGGCGTGTTGACAAGACCCAGAGCGCCGCTACTGTACCAGCATGTCACAGCATTTACAGCGGACATAACACTCACAACGCATTACCCAGCAATTATCACAGCTGGGCTTCTTACACTTGGTTAATGTAATCCTCGTTTATCTTATCCATGTTTCACACAGTTCATACTCTATTCATGGTTAGTAATTCATAGATTTCACACTGTGCGTTTGTTAATGCTGGGTTAAAGTTCTTATTTGCATATTCATGAGGTGATTAACATTGATTGACTAGATGTGACCTGTTTTAATAACTGCTTGTCTGTCTGTGGGAATGTCATCGTGTTATCGCTCTGGTTGTCTTGTGTCTGCTGAAAATATGCTAAATAATAGCATAGCTTTATTGATCCTGTAAAAGTTGTGATGAAACGGAAGCACTGACAGTATTTTTTTCCAGATTAGGATGTAAATTCAAGTGAAACAGATTATTAAAAAAGAAGAAAAAAAAAAGATTGGTTGGCAGATTTGAATGCAAGCTTATTGTAAGAGAGGGGCGGGGTTTAAGCAGACTAAATGATTGGAGAAATCTCCAGAGAGACGGCCGTCGTTTCACCTGAAGATGGAGTTATGACATTTGGAAAAAAAAAAAACTGTATGAATGAATCATTCACAGTAAGATCATTGACATGCATTTAGAAAATAGTGTGAATTTTCATTTCACATTTGACTTTTCATTTTCACATCACTGTTTCCCTCAGACATGGGTGCATGGAAATTTTCTGCAACTGTACAAAGCACATGAATATTTAATATGACAAGTACTGAAGCTGTTCATAATTGGTTGTCTGTTGCTAAACAACTCACTATGGCATTCTGGCATCACAAAGTATACTTTTGGCGCAATTATTTTAACTTGCCAAATCAGTGGTAATTACTGAAGCTGTTCATAATTGGTTGTCTGTTGCTAAACAACTCACCATGGCATTCTGGCATCACAAAGTATACTTTTGGCGCAATTATTTTAACTTGCCAAATCAGTGGTAATCCCCTTTCAAAATGAGTGTTAATGATAGTTAAAACTGACCTTAACCTAGTGTTTAACCAAGAGTTAAATGTAGTGTAGAATCCCTTGTGCATTCGTCTGCAATTACAGTAAATCCACAATAGTGTTTATTCGCTGAATGTCTGAAGCACATTGCACATAAAAATTGTTAAAATCTCCAGTAATTGTCTGATTGGCTGGCTTTATGCAATTTCAAGGGCTCTAACTCTTAACACACTGCTCTTGAGTCAAAGTAGTTCTGTAGTCCACAATTCTTTGTTTTGCAATTATATGTCCCGCAGGGCATCTTTGTTCACATACACAACCCATCATGCAGTGTTATGCAGTTTTACCATTACCATCATTCAACTTACTGTTCATTACTCTTCATAAACACAACTCACACTGCAGTGCTTCATTGTTCATGTCTACAGAAATCAGACAGCCTCATTCAACATCACACTTAAACTGTAAAATTGCGCAGTTCCTAATGTATTGTGGTAGAAACAGCTTCATTTCCAGGTAATTGCAAAAATCAACCTGTGAAATGATGCATCACCAACTTGGAAGGAGCTTCTATTAGAGAAGTAGATGGCATGCTTGAATGCTTGAAAAGTCTGTAATTCATTTCAGTAAAAAAATATACTCAAATGGTTGGTGTTTTTCCCTCCTCAGTCCTCAGTTAGCACATGCTTGAATAGATTTTTACCTAAATCAATTTTAACAGATATTTGACTTGTTTGCTCAAAGAACAAACAAACACTTGAACTAGAGCACTTGAACTAGACCTTGAAGTATTGACACAGAAGGGAGGCTCAGAATGAGGTGCTACACTTTAAAAACCACTACAGTTGATTGCAATAAAATGTACATAGGTTGCCCCAAAAATTATATAAAATAAATCACTAGTTTTTTAGACTTCAAGGCCCCCCATTGTCACAGACAATAATTGAATGTACTTTTCTGGTACTTTTACTGTAATGAAAAAGTTGCTAATTTTAAAACTTTTTAAAATTATTATTATTTACAGAACCTTGAGTGGTAGATTTTTTGTAATAAATTAAATTATTAAAATCCATTATAAAAGCCATAATAATTAAATCCATTTTTTTCAGGGTTAAAAATATTTTAGAGCTTGACATAACTAGAAAAATTGAAGTCCATTACAAAATTTTTCATGACTTCCCCAGGTCTAGAAATCACACTTTTAAAATGGCCTCATACATTCAGGCTTTCCAAGACCATGAGAACCATTGCAATAAACTATAGAATATGTGCTGATTAGTGGGACAGTATTGTAAAAGATCGACCCAGAATTTGACACAAGACATATCAAACACACTGATATGAAAGTAATTGAACATACAATATGCAAGCCAATGAGGGTAAAGTGCTTTTTTCATGTATATGTATTTTATTTATTTGTATTATTTTTTTAACTGTTTTTGCATCATTTATTAAAGTAGGTTAATGTTAATTTATAAATATACAGCAATTCATTTTTAATTAATGGTTGATCATAATACGTCAGCTAATGTAAATTTATACAACTTAAAATGTTTAAAATGTATTGTTGCATTACCGTATGTAAACATACAAAACCTTAACTGCAACTTTTTTATATTTAGTCAAATATAAGACAGGAAACAACATGATCCGGATCCAGAGCGCCACTGTGTGTGCTACCCACCAGGACTTTGTCTTCAATGAGCACAAATGAAATGCCATAAAACATTTTCCTATAAGCCTTCTGATGATACTTGCGACATCTGACAGTACAAGAAAATATCAGCCACCTTGGCTCATATTGAATTCTAATGATGCTGCTGATGCTGCTGATGTTGCTGTCTTGCGATTACTCAGACGTTAATAAATCAGCCTGGCTGTGTGTTCTGCTACCTTGCCTTGTCGTTCCACTTTTAATTAACACTGCAATGATTAAAGTTTTAACTTAATTACCTTTATCTTTTCTCTTAGGGCATACAACCCTCTGTGGGAAACTGAGTAAAACATTTCACCAGCACCAAAACACAGAAGCTTTGCTAGATAGAGAGAGATACATAAAGTGAACACAACTGACTTAAACTGGATGAAGGCGGTGTAATGGAGGAATAAGTGGAGAAGAGTGAAAAGAGAAGAACGAAAGAATGAAGACAAGTGGAAAGCAAACACGTCTTTTCAACAGTTGTTGGTTAAATTAATACATAACAATCGGACGACATGATTGACAGGAGGCTGCTCCTGTTGGTGTCCCTCTGTTTTGTAGGAGGAGGTTGTGTCACTAAGATTGTTCAGAGAAGGGGAGTGAGCTCAATTCATGCCCAGCATACAGGAAATGGAGCAACTGACCAATGGGATACAAGTCCGGAGAGGAATGGCAATACAATGACAAGACTCAAAGAACTGATTGGTCCTGAGGAAGTTGAAGAGCAGATTACAGTTCACCAGAGCCATGGAGCTTCTCCTGTCTTCACCAAGGAAAACTTTGTTGGGTTTAATGCCAAACCTCCAGTACAAATAAACGAAGACTCCGATCAAGCAGATTTAAAGGTACAAGCACCAATCGATGACACTAGAGACATTTTAGAGTTTAAAAGAAGTAGAAATAACACAAAGAAAGGTGGAAGAGTTGACAAATGGATCCCGATGCACCACAGGACAACTTCTGGCATACACTTCAACAGAACCAGATTCAAAATCCCTTCAAGATCCAGAGCAAGTTCAAATTCTGCTGTTCACACAACAGCGGGTACAAAAGCAGTCACTCCAGATTCGCCTCGGAAATTGAACCTGACTGGAAGCTTATTAAAACTGATATCTAAAGAGAACCTTGTACGGATTGTGAATTCCCAGCTTCAGAGTGTCTCAGGTCTAAATATTCCAGTTAAAATGAGTCACAGTAGGAAAAGGGATTTGATCAACATGGATCACAGTCAGGTGGAGGCATTTAAAATGAAAAAACAAGACAGGATAGGCACTCCTGAACTTTATAACTCGGACAACCAGACTGCGGAGCTACATTCAAGTACTTCTACAAATACCAGTTTAAATTCAGATCAGAAGGTTCACACTGTCTTTAAACAATTTAGCGGATTCAATATGGATCTAGGCGAGGGGGACAGAAAAATGGAGGTGAGAGGTGCACCGGGCTCTGCTTCATGGAAGTACAAACACTTTACTACTCACTTAGCATCAACTCCCCAAAGTGAGATCATGCCCGTCACGGAGACGAATCCCTTGGCTGGTCAGAGCGATATGGACATATCACACTCTCCATCTCAGATTGGCTCGGGACATCGGCCTGATGCTTTCAGCTCACTGACTGAGAGGAGTCTTGACATTAAAGAGGAATCAGATCAGAGTGTTCGTATGCCATTCGGTGTCACTCAGAATCCATTGATTAAAATTTCAGAACCCATTGACAGCAGTCACATCCTAAAACTCCCACCAGATCCACAATGGGGAGGGAAGGAGGTGGATATGAGGGGAGACTCTCGCCCTGGCAGAGATGGACAAGGCCTTGTTTTCCAGGAAATGGATGAGGATGAAGATGAGGAGCGGAATCAACAAAAAGGGGAAATCTCTCGATCCAGAAGACGACGAAGCTGGATCTGGAACCAGTTCTTTGTCATTGAGGAGTATGCTGGTCCAGAACCAGTGCTCATTGGAAGGGTAAGAACCCCTTATGTTTCCCCTAAAAAGATATAGTTCACCCAAAAATTAAATTATTAAATTAAATTAAAATGATGGCAAAGCTGAGTTTTCAGCAGCCATTATTCCCGTCCTCAGTGTCACATGATCCTACAGAAATCATTCTAAATATGCTGATTTGGTGCTCAAAAACATGTCTTATTGTTAATTTTGAAAACCGTTGTGCTGCTTAATATTTTTGTGTAAACCATGGCAAATTATTTCAGGATTTTTTGATGAATATAAAGTTAAAAAGAGCAGCAATTATTTGAAATGGAAATCTTTTTAAACACTGTACACTGTCTTTACAGTCACCTTTTATCAATTTAATGCTTTGCTGAATTAAAGTATTAATTTGTTTAAAAAAAAAAAATCTTCCAACAGACTTTAGTCGTGTTGTTTTGGACCCTACTGAATTTCACTGTATGGACAAAAACATTCTTCTGTAAATGATTTGATGATGACTTCTCATTTTTTGGATGAACTATCTGTTTAACACCCAACTCATTGCTAGCAACTTTTAATTGATGTTGATTGACTTTTGCATTTATCTAAATAACCACTTTTTCTAATTGAATAATGAGCTGAGATTAATCACTTAGGCAGAGGAAAATCAAAGATCACTAACCAATATGACCCTCAACACAGTGAACTGGGGGAAAAAAGCTCACACTGAGACTGAAAGACATATCCCACAGAACATTGTGCCTGGATGTTTATCACATCACTGATCTTAATGGCATTAGTCACATTATCCCAGTCTTTTTTTCTTGCTGTCTTTGTCTGTTTGAATCCTGAGGAAGCCGAGCTCTGCAGGTCACAGAATAATGTTTCAATCAGCCTCTTAATCAGCCGTTGATTCTACTCTGTTAAAGCTACAGTATGTGCTGTGATGAACAATTGCTCTTCTCATCAGAAAATCAAGAGCCTGGTGGTGGAGGGTGAAAAATAACATTACCTCTCTTCTGTGAGTCATACTCCATTGCTGACCCCGTTTGGAGGGGGCCCATGACTTACAGTACCAGTCAAATTTTAGACATAACTACCCAATCTTTATTACGATCTTTAGAATAATTGTTAAAGTATAAAATTATGAAATAACACAAAATGATGTATGAGAATTATGCAGTGACCAAAATTTTTAAACAAAACTACCTTATATTTTAGTTTTTAGCCACCATTTGCTTTTTTAATTTTTTTTTATGGTTTTTTCTTTCCCCCAACCGATGTTCCCAGTAAGGTGAACTTATCAACCATTAATTTCAATTATTTTTAAAATATGTTTTTATTTTATAAATGTATTTATTATAATTAGTTTTTTATTTAAAATATTTTTAAATGTACATTGCAAGCATTAATACAGATACTGCTAAAAAATTTAATATTATCCAGTAAAACTATTTAAATGTCTTTCAAAGTACATTTACTTTTTGTGTTAGATAATAAATGAGGGTAATTAAGCATAATTTTAAAAAAAAGTAAATTAAGTGAATGTTTTTCTTCTTTTAACCATAAATCATTTTTGTTAGTTTGTGAGTTTTCTTTGTTTAAAACAATAAAAAATTGAGATGTCAATTTTGATTTTTAACTCAAGTAAATTGAATTTATTTATTTATTTTTTATGCATTTTAAAAACTGTACTCCCAAGTATTTAACTACAAGCCTTTAGATGAAAAGGTCTTTAATATCATATGAGGTGCAACTTTGACTGGCACTGTATATCTGACATTGTTTCACTGTTTCACAGTTTCAACCTCTCTCTTTCTGTCTTTTTCTCGTCTTTTCCCTCTTGCCATCTCCCTGAGCTGCAGTTTGAGCGTCTGGGGAAGGCGGTGGGGTAATACGTTGTGTAAATGAATGACGATGATTCCGCTTGTCTGTCTGAGGCAGTCAGACGGCACTGTGGAATAGAAAAAAACCCTCTTGCATTCTCTTCTGGGACCCTCTTTCTGTCTGTGAGTTGGCTCCTGCAGCATATAATGAACCCCCCCGTGCTGTTAATACCCAACTCCAGATCCAGACACATCCACCCAATAGTTTTAGACACATTTGATCACTGAGCTCAAACGGGATGGCTGTTTAGAATGGGTAAGAAGACAAGTATTGATCTTCATTAGGGCCTCATGGACAGCAGAAAGTGGGAGCGAGAGAAAGTGGCAGAGAGAAGGAATAGGGAATTATGAGACTAAAAATGCCTTAGGTGCTGTTGACCATTGCTACAGATGGACAGTCCTGTATGTCATTAGAGCCAATATGGTGTGCTTTAACATGTGGCAATGCTGTCACTGATAGTTCCCTGCTCACTGAGCATCCTTCACGGTATCTAATAAATCTAAACCACTAAACCACTAAGTATCTAAACCACGGTTGAACCTGCTCGGAGCCTGAGCATGTATTGTGTGTGCATGTACACGTCTAATGCTCTTATGTGTCCTAATGCTCTTACGGATGTTTAATCTTGCTGCTTCGACCCTGTGCGGAGCCGCCTGCACTGCTATCTGTTGGATCAATTGGGGATGTGTTTTGCTGCACCTCATAACTGAGATGATTATGATTTAATAAAGGGCTGAAGTGAACTATGTAGCCCCGCGGCAGACGTGCCAAGTGCCACAGCGTACTCAATCTACAGTGTGAAGCTAATCACAGATTCAGCATTTGGAGCGCGCGTTCATATACTCATTACGGCGTCTATAAATAACGTACTGGTAATTATGCATTTTAACATATTTTATGGTAGGTAACATCAATTATATGCAATTATTGTTATGTTAAATGATAATCCAATTGGGGGGTTGGCATAACAAGCGTCCATATGTTTATGTCAGAGGACTCATTGCTAGAGAGCATATGCAGGGATTTTATGATAACAATATATGCTCCGCTGTAATTTCGTAATGAATGTATTTTTTTCTTGATCTTAATTTATGGACATAAATTAGCACATCTTTTGCATTCGAAAGCAATGCCGGGATGTGAGGCATAGGGAAAGCAAATTTGCACTCTGTCGTACCAACTTAGCGCAATTGTGGTCTCTTAAAACCGTAGGTCTCCCTAGGCTGTTCCTAACAGGCATAATTTGGATGTACAAAATAAAAGTGGCATGATTGAGATTTGGTACTTGAAGTGCTGGAAAACACTCTCCTGTGGTTTTGTGTTTGTGGAAGTGATGTTTTGGTGCTTGCGGTCTTTTGATTATCTCTTTAAATATCCAAGCCCTTTACCCTCCTTGGAGTTTTGTTTGATTCGCTTTGATTGGAAACATTGTGGTTTACAAATCCGATCCATAATTCCACAGTTGTTTTGTCAGCAATATGTTTGGCAGGCATTTTCACTGTTTTATGTTGCAGAGGAGTCTGTGCTCAAAGTACACACTGGTAGAGAGTGCTGGCAATTCTGTGCTACGCTACTAGGAATTATTCTAACATACACTCTGCTGGACCTGCTCAAAAAATGTATCTGCTCTGTCACTCTTAAACTCTCAAAGTTTTGCTAGCCAAAATTCTGACTTGCCGTTAAATAAATGTCATTTTGTCGTTCTGTCAGTCTTTCATTCGATCTATCGTTCTGTCTCTGTTGTTCTGTCTGTCTATCTGTATGTCTATTTGTCATTCTGTTATTTTATCTTTCTGTCTATCTATATGATGTTCTATCTTTTTTGCACAAATTGAATTTTAAAGGCATTTTCAATTCAATTCTGAATTGGATGGATAAGTTGGTAGATGTACTGTATATCTAGGGGGCAGTACCAATTTTTAAAGCAAATTTAAATAAGTTTTTCCCTACACTGAGTACTGATAGGACTGGAAATATTAAGTGAGGAGGACTGGAAACAGTCAGTCTAAGTCAAATCTAGTGTAAGTTAACTACAAAATCAGCTGTGATGTTATGTAGTTCTTCCAGCTGAATTAAGTAAAAATGAGAGGTAGCACAGCTATTAGTCCTAAATAATTATTTGTTAAAGAACAGCATATTTATTTAGGTCTTCAAAAATCTCCTCACAGACTTGTAAAAAAAAGCTCTGTCCAGGAAAATCTCTAAACAGCATTCTGAGCTTTGATCTTTCACTTTCTTCAGTTCATATTTTCAAATCCTCTCATGGCAAGTGCATCAAAACCCCATTAAATGTGTTGCAAATACTTTATGAAATCCATTTAAAAACACTCACAAGCACTTGATTTCTGTAATTTCATGGAAGCTCAGTTAACTCCAGTCGGGTGGCTTTTGAAACCTTTTCCACCAATAGTAATTTGATATTTCAGATTTGGGTCTCACTGAGTAGGGACCTTAGTTTAGACTGGGATTGATCACTAAAACTCTTTCATGCATTCACTCAGTTAAGTGCAATTTGTTTTCCGATGTGTTTTGAGGATTGCCATGGATCCTGGTTAAGGGTTAGGAGTCTGTTTCACTATTCAGGGACTGTGAGTGTTAAGGTTTTTGAAAGTGACCTTGTAACAAACTGTGATGGTGCCACCAGGCATCGTTCATTGACTGACCGCAGGGTGCTATACTTCCTTTCCTGCCGCTGGGTGCCCCATCGCTCTTCTGCTGCTATTTGTCTGCCCGTGAGTCTCCTCACCTGCTAGAGGCCAAACGTGGGGGGAAGGTGTTATATTAATAACACTGTACAGTACAGGTCAACCTAATAAAGTCAAGCACATAATGAAAGCAACCAAACGCACCCACAACTAGTTTATTAAAAAATTATATATTCACACATTAGACTTTTTAATCTCAAAGTCTCACTCAGCATTACTGGTGATACTTCATTTATTGTGTATTTTATTAGTGCTGCTTTTGCAGTGTAAAATGATATGTAAGACATTAAATATAACCTAGAAATAATTTTATAAATAGGGTTCAAAAGTCCACATTGAATATCTGGAAAGGTAGTTTGTTAATTCATCAGACAAGTTTGTTATAGTAAATGCATGTGATTCTGGAAGCTGCATTCACATGAAAGGTAGTTCTGACTTTATATC